GGACATGAAAACACTGCAATACGGACATGAATACACTGCATTATGGACATGCCAATAATGCAATATGGACAATACGGACATGAAAACACTGCATTATGGACATGAAAACACTGCATTACGGACAATACAGACATGAAAACACAGCAATACGGACATGAAAACACTGCAATATGGACAATACGGACATGAAAACACTGCAATACGGACAGGAAAACACTATTATGGACATGAAAACACTGCATTACAGGCATGAGGACACTATAGTATGGGTAATAAAATATCCGAGTATGGACATAACCACCTTTTAGTCATTACATTTAATCAAAAACTTTCTCTCTTGATTATATCAGCTGTTTTTTATTTAGTCTTCGTCCTATGTCAAGTTTCCTTTTTAGTCATCAGATTATACTGAACTTCTCAGTGAATCTAGTCGAGCCAAAACCAATCATTTTGTCATTTCACTCCTTCCACATAAGATTATATATTCATTGTTTGAGTATCCGAGTGTGATGACCCCTCCTGTCCACTAGGGGTCAGTTTCCTGACTCTTCTTTGTCTTTCAGTCTCTCTAACTCAACATGGACTCTCTTCCTTTGCCAACACGGCTGCTGTCCAGTTTTGTTTGCTCCACACATTTCACACATCCCCACATACTGACGTCACTCTGACTCTCCGTTTGTTTTTTAGCTGTTGGTATTCTTTGAGTAAATGGGTTCATTACTTTTAACTTGTTTGGCCTCTGATTTGTGTTGCAGCCTTTGAGCCAGGCAGTAACACACAGGTTGAATGATTAAGCAGCTTTAGTCTTAGTCCTAAACTGTGCACATTAGTGATGCGCAGGTCAGTTTGTGTGAAACCAATCCGCACCACTCAACATGCAAAAATCTGCGTTATCCTGACCCAAACGTTATGGTTTACAGTAGCACAAATATTAGGACTGAGACTAGGACAGAAAATGTGTGTTTTTGTGTTTGAAAGGGAGAGAGAGACAGAGAGAGAGAGACAGAGGAAGGGTAAGAGAATTAAACTGAAGGTACTTCTCCATGTTAGTTGCAAAAAGTTGCGAAGGAAGAAAGTCTATTTATAGAAGATATGAATAGTACTGTTCTGAAAGCAAGTAGTCTTCAGCTTCCAGAATCTATGAACTAACTGTATGTTGTTCATGTTTTATTACAACTCAAAACACACAGCGTCTGCTATTGCTGGAGAAAAGTTGCCTTTCACAGTCATACTGCCATATGAAAGTATATGTTGTAGATAAGCTGCTATAGACCCAGAGGACTTCCTAGGATACACTGAGCTCCTCTCTCTTCTATATGAATTCATGTCCCATTAATGCACATTAATAACTTTTCTTCTTCCTCAGAGTCTCTGTGCTTTCTCTCCTCACAGGTTTACATAGATCCTGGTTTTATCTGGACCCTGGTCCTGACTGACACCCACAGTTACTGTCATTATTAGTCACATTTCTATTACTGATACGATTACTTATTTTATCATCATTATTATTATTATTATTATACTATATCCACTGCTGCGTCATAATTTTCGATCATTATTCTGCTTACTACTCCCATTATATGAATCATTTCTGTCATATGTTACAACCCGGCTCAAAGGCTGCAACATGGAGGGAGACCACACGAGTTCAAAGTAATAAATACACATTTATTTAAAGAATACATCAACAAACCTCAAATCAGCAGCTGTGTCAGACAAGGAAGAGCTGAGAATTTAAATAATTACCAGCTAACAAAAAGTACAGAACCAAACCACTGTAAGCATTAATCTGAAGTAGCATCCAACAGGTTCCTGTGACACAAAAGCTCACTAGACAACCAAGTCGTCCACAGATGACAAAGAGGCAACCAGATTACAACTCAGCTCACACTAACCAAGGTATGAACTGTAGCGCTCATGTTCTAAAGCCAACAGGCTAAGCTAACAGTTTGTATGTCACAACAACATACTGTTCACCACATCCCTCCTTTATCTATCGACTTGTTTACCACATAAACCATTCATACCTACTGCACACTGTGCAGCAGTCTTCAGGTTCTCAGGTTAAACACCTGCAAGGTAACTGGGTGCAATACTTAGACACCTAGAATGCTCTCAGTCCAGAATTACCCAGAAACATCCAGAACACGACCATGATTACATAAAAACCAGAATACACAACATGCAGTTAGCAGGAAAGCAGGAACCAGAAACTATCGTTTTCCTCAGTAAATCCAGGAACATCAAACGCTTCAGACACTAGAAGACCAACAGCATCCAACTTAAATTTGACACCTAACAAACAGAGCTCCAATAAATCCTCTAAATAAACCAGAACAGAGGAAACAAACTGACTGCCCCAACACAAAACCCAAACTGATCCGTACAGAATTAATCAGACTAACACACAGGCAGCCTTCACACAGCTAACATCACTGCAGCCCCGTCCATCTGACTGCCTAACCAGAACTAAGTAAGCTCCCCCCTAGTCGCAGGGGCTACTTGTGGTGGGTACTTACGCACCAAAATCCACAGACCCGGTAAAGCAACCATGAACTGGTAACCCACCTGCAGCCTCAAATATGCCCCTGAGACAACTGCTCCAACCACTTTCATTACCACACTATCAAACCCCCAATAAACTCAAAAGGGAATCCGCTCTTCAACCTAACTGACAGAACAACAGTTTACTCACCGTGTAAACAGGACCACCTGAACTCTGTTCCACAAATATCACCAGCATATCACTGCTCTGTGACACAAACACACTCCTCAGGAACACTAATCACTAATCACTAAGACCAGAAGAGTTAAAAGTAATAACTGTGGCTAAGTGGCGAGCAGGGCCGTCCTTCAATCAGAGGATCGGTGGTTCCATCCCCGGCTCTGGCTCTGCTATTCTGATATCGATGTGTCCTTGACCCCAAAAAATGTCTCCCTTCCTGTGCCTACGGTGTATGAATGTGATAGAATCTGAAATGTAAGTCGCTTTGGATAAAAGCGTCTGCTAAATGACTGTAATGTATGAATGTATGTAATGTAACTTCACCATTAGATGCCGACAAACAAACACACTATTTAAAGGTCAAAGTTATAGACTGTTCAAAATAGTTTAAAAATTGGTTATTATAGAAAACAAAGGTCTGACGATGACTTTATATATGTGTGTGCGTGTTTATATATATATATATATATATGAATATATTATTTCCTAATCATATATCTGCAATTTTGGGTTATCAGGACAACCAGTTTAATAGGAACCAGTTAGTGTCTTTATGTTTCTGGGTCAGATAAGAAGACAAAATGTGTTTTAGAGGCTCAGGTGAGAATACTGTAACACCTGTCTTCCACCAGTAGAGGGCATGCTGATGTCACAGTGTGTGTGCGTGTGTGTGTGTGTGTGTGTGTGACACGTCTGTTCTGAGCTTGCTCCATCTGCTGTGTGCAGGACTATAACAACAAACTCCTTTAAAAATGTATTTTACACCAACAGAGTTTCTCCTCCACGTGAGGTGATGATGATTCTGTACTGAGTCACGAGTGTGTGTGTGTGTGTGTGTGTGTGTGTGTGTGTGTGGTATGAATGAATCAGGGACACTCTCTCTTCCTACTCCTCTCTCCTTCCTCCTCCTCTTCTGTCGTGACGTTCATTCAGGAGGAAACACCACAAAGAGTCCTGAGATATTCTGAGAGACTTTACTCACAGTTTGTGCGCGTGTGTGTGTGTGTGTGTGTGTATATGTGTGAGTGTGTGTGTGTGTGTGAATCACAGGGAATACCTCTGTGGATGGGGGAGGGATTAAACAGAAAGAGGTATAATTACAGTAACAGAGCAGAGAGGGAGAGTAGAGTGACCCTGCACACGGTGTTCATTCAGCTCGGACCACCAAACTATCAGGACCAGAACCATCAGGACCAGAACCATCAGGATAGATAAGGACCAGGTCTGGAACACCTTAGAGATTGAAAGACCAGTCTGAGGACCAGAACACCAGTCTGCTGCTCCTCTGTGAACTCTGCTGATCTGTGAGGATTTTTGAAGTTCAACGTGTGCTGCTGACTTCTTCGTGTTTCTGTTACTTCTCCTCACTAAAGACCACTAAAGACTCTACTGCTGGACTCTACTTAGTCAGAGGTCTTGAACGAAAGGATCTTGAACTGTTCACCAGCTGCTTCCTGTTTCTGAATGTAGACCGGCTGTCTCTCACTCAGATACTCTACAAACTGTATTGATATTGTCTCTCACTCAGATACTGTTGGAGCATCATGTCCTCTCAGTTTTCGGTGCTCTTCTTCATGGCCGTCGGCCTTCTCGTCGACGCCTTTCCGGCAGTCTCTCCTGCTATGGAGGTTGATGTAACATCTCGACTTCAGGAGGGGGCACCGTCTTCAGACTGTCCGTCCTGCTCTCTGCTTCAGATGAGGACCAATTCATCTTCATCAGGAGGACAGAGCGACATGGTGGAAGCTGTGAAACGTCACATTCTCAACATGCTGCACCTGAGCACTCGGCCCAACGTGACACAGCCGATCCCTCGAGCAGCACTGCTCAATGCCATCAAAAACCTGCACGTCGGCCGCGTGGCTGAAGATGGCAGCGTGGAGATCCAGGAGGAGGGCCGGGGGCCCTGGGCCCCAACACCACCTGAACCACCATCTGAAATGATCACCTTTGCAGAGCCAGGTGAGTCTGACAACCAATCAGAGATGTCAGGTTTACTTTTAGTTTGAACAGTTAGGAGTTAGTAAGTAAGAGAGTTTCAGTCACTGCTCCTAAATACTTGTGCAGAGGTCGAATTCTATATATGAATACTTTGTGACAATTTAAAAAACCTAAAGTTATGACTTTAAGTTTTTAAAATAAATGTACTGTTACAAGGCTAGAGCGTTACAGAGTTACAGATACAATGTGAGAGTTACAGTTAAAAAGTTACAGAATTAAAGTTACAAGGTTACACGGTTATGGTTTTACAGAGTTACAGAGTTACAGTTAAAAGATCACAGAGTTACAGAGTTACAGTTAAAAGATCACAGAGTTACAGTTAAAAGATCACATAGTTACAGATTTACAGAGTTACAGAGTTACAGAGTTATAAAGTTAGAGAGCTAGAGAGTTACAGAGTTAGAGAGCTAGAGAGTTAGAGAGTTACAGAGTTAGACAGTTACAGAGTTACAGAGTTATAAAGTTAGAGCTAGAGAGTTACAGAGTTAGAGAGTTATAAAGTTAGAGAGCTAGAGAGTTAGAGTTACAGAGTTAGAGAGTTACAGAGTTACAGAGTTAGAGAGTTACAGAGTTATAAAGTCAGAGAGTTACAGAGTTACAGAGTTATAAAGTCAGAGAGTTACAGAGCTACAGAGTTACAGATTTACAGAGTTAGAGAGCTTGAGAGTTACAGAGTTACAGATTTACAGAGTTAGAGAGCTTGAGAGTTACAGAGTTAGTTATATAGTTAGAGAGCTAGAGTTAGAGAGCTACAGAGTTACAGAGTTACAGATTTAGAGAGCTAGAGAGTTACAGAGTTACAGTCATCACATCATCAAGTTATAGCTAGAGAGTTTCAGTTATAATGTCACAGAGTTACAGTTGAGGTCACAGTGGCTCATTGGGTAGAGAGGGTCGTCTGGTAATCTCAAGGTTGGCGGTTCACTTGTGCCGAAGTGTCCATGAGCAAGACACTGAACCCCTCACCGCTTCTCAGCAGCCCGCTAGGGATGGGTTACATGCAGGAGTTAGATTTCTTATATATGTACCTCATGCATGACTACAATTATGTTGTTTTTTTTTAAGTTTAAGAATAACAGAGTTACAGCTAACGCTGCTCACAGCTAACAGTGCTAACAGCTAACAGTGCTAACAGTGCTAACAGCTAACTGCTAACAGTGCTCACAGCTGACAGTATTCACAGCTAACAGTGCCAACAGTGCTAAAAGTATACTACCATTTCATTTGCAAGTGCCTTCATCATTTTAAATGTTGATTATAAAAATAAATGTTATTTATTTAACAGTGCTAATAGTGTTTACCTGTGGGGAAACGTTAACAGCTGTGGCACAACCAGTGAGACTCACATGCACTCACATGCACTCACATGCACTTACTTGTATTACAACACACACAGATAGACTTCAGGTTGACATGTATCTTTACATACACAATCATTAATGCTCTGAATCATTTATATTGCACCTTTAAAATGACTTGTTGTCAGCTTACCTCATGCCTTTACACAATTTTAATGTAAGTTTAGCAAATAATAAATCTTCCATGTCTTGATCAGGTGAACTAATCCAGTTGAGGAAAGGAGAACTTCAGCAGTTCAGGTCAAGATTGCAATTTTGCAAAACTTCCTACGATTTCTCATTATTTTCATAGTAAAGTTAATGACTATCACGTTACCTTACAATGAGAATGAAACTTACTTTAAAAACTTACTCTATCAACAAAAACAAGTCCTCATTTTGAAAAGATATCAACTTCTCATCATCAAAACAAACTGTGGGGGAAAATCTATTTATGACATAAATAACTATATCAATATATTACAGCAGGTGTGATTGTAATTTCCTGCCCACAGGCCATTCTGTATCTATGTATGATTTCTATATAAGAGGCATTGCTTAATGAAGTATATTAGTTACTCAGAATACTAAAGACAGTTCTTACTTATTAAGTTCAGGCAAAATTGAAAAAATGTAATAATTGTATGCAATATAAAAGCACAATTATGAGAATATATTCATGATTGAGAGCTATAATAATCAAAATTCTAGCAGACTCTTTGTTTTTTTGGTTCATTCTAGTCAGGCTCAGTTGTCTTAAGTTGATTACTTTGAATAGAAACGGATCATAAAGTCAACATAAGCCTCTGGATCCGGGTTAAGATCTCTAAATGCCAATTTATTATGACACATCACTATTGTTTTATGTCGATGCTCGCGCCTCCCAAATCCCACCACAAAGCAATCTGATTGGTTGATGAGGAACATAACATTTTACCCCAAATCTGTAAAGACAAGAAACAAACTGATAATCTACATACAGCCTGAATATGATAAAGTCAGTAGAGTCAGACTCCACTGAGGTCTACTGGCCATCAGCTCCATTAGAGACGTCCGTCTGTCTGTCTGTCTGTCTGTGTGCTCTGTTATCAGCTCATTCACAAAAATCCAAAAAGTTCAAAGTTTGTTTACAGATTTCACAGTCACAGACAAGTTCTATTGATTCTCCTCAGTGTCTGAGTGAATGTTATCTTCCACATACTGACAGATGAAATAATGATCAAGTCGAGCTCCATTCATTTGTCCATAAATTCTTTCATTCATTCTTTTATTCATTCTTTCATTCATTCATTCTTTTATTCATCCCGTCATGTTGTTTTTTGTAGCACATCGGTGCAGCTGAGCGAGCAATTAGACGTTGGAGTTAAAACATTGTTGATCAATCAGGTGAATAATCAGACGTTGTGAACTCTAACTGAACGTCAGACAAATGATCTGATTTTAAAATGAGTCTCAGCCTGTCACAGTTTTTAAGATCCACTCATTAAATGTGTTGGTGGTTTTGTGTTGATGAACGTGAACCAGCTCGTGGCCGACTGCATTGTCCCGCTGCTTGTTTGCTTACATAAATGTACAGAATGGCTTTGTGCTATAAATAGTCCTCTCTTTGAGAGGAATCTTTAATTTAAAATGTCCCTCAAAGGCCGCCCGAAATTAGAGGACAGTAACGGGGGGGGGGGGGGGCATACCAAGTGGTCTCAGGCCGTAAATAATCTCTTCATTCAGACAAATCTAGGCCTCAGTAATTATTTTGCAGCAGGAAACAAAGAGAGTGTGTGTGTGCATGTGTGCGTTTGGTGTTCAACAGGCCTTTTCTTTTTTTAGTGTCTCTGCTCATATTGAGTATATTTAGAGGTGGCTCCATTCATGCATTTATTGTCAATGACATTTTCTTTGTTCATTCATTGAAATGACAGGAAGACAGGAACAGAAGGGGGGGCTGTTCAGACAGCAGGGTCACAGTTTCTTTATGTTGCCGATCATTTACTTCAGACAAAAACAGCTGGTTCAAATAATGTTTTTATTTATGTCTTCGTTCAAACCTTCGTTAAAGATCTTAATCATCTTTAAGTTTTCCTGATGTCTGAAGGTTCCTGTTTGTTCATCAGGTTTGACTTCAGAAAACTGTGAGCTTCTTGTTCTCTAACAGCAGGACCATCAGACTGAGGTCAGAGGTCATATACAAAATTAAACTTTATTTAGGATGTAGAATAATAAATGGTGATAGAACAGTAGAAACCAGTAGAGACCACTACAGTCTAGCAGACACCTTCTGTCAACATTCATGTGAATGTTTTATTGATCTGTTCATTCTGATGCATTTGTCTGATTGCATGCTAACATGCTAACATGTCTCTCTGCTGCAGGAGACTCTCTGAACACGGTGACCTTTGACATTTCGAAGGAGGGTAGCGGCTCGTCGGTGGTGGAACAAGCGAACGTCTGGATCTTCCTGAAGAAGTCCGTGGCAAACCGAGTGAAAGGCAAAGTGACGCTGCGACTGCTGCAGCTTCATCATGAGGATGATGATGAGAAGGAAGAGTGTGTTTCAGAGAAGATGGTGGACACTCGTCGTAGCGGCTGGCACACCCTGGCCGTGTCCCGCAGTGTTCAGAATCTGCTGGACGGCAGCAGCAGCTCGCTCAGCCTGCGGGTTTCCTGCCCACTGTGCACTGAAGCCGGAGCCTCGCCCATCCTGATGCCGGCCGGTGGGAGAGATCAGTCTCACCGTCCGTTCCTCATGGTGGCATTGAGAGCCGAAGAAGAAGCGGCTCAGCGACGAGTCAAACGAGGTCTGGAGTGCGACGGGAAAATACGCGTCTGCTGCAAACGACAGTTTTACGTGAATTTCAAAGATATTGGCTGGAACGACTGGATTATCGCTCCGTCTGGTTACCATGCAAACTACTGCGAGGGCGACTGTCCAAACCACATGGCGAGCTTCAGCGGCTCATCCCTGTCCTTCCATTCGACGGTCATCAATCATTATCGTATGAGGGGCTACGGCCCGTTTCAGAACATTAAGTCGTGCTGCGTGCCGACGAGGCTGCGTGCGATGTCGATGCTGTACTACAACGAAGAGCAGAAGATCATCAAAAAAGACATCCAGGACATGATCGTGGACGAGTGCGGCTGCTCGTAAACATAAAGACGTTAGAAACACTTCCTGCTTCCTGCAGGAAAAATATCAGTCCAGGCACTTTCCCAGTAAAGATAAAGTATTTATGTTTAGTGACCATTGTATTTCTTATTGGGAGAGACTCTTTTCCACATTGGAACGACCTGAGAATACTATGCAAAAGCTCCTGCAAAGTCAAACCTTATTCGTCTACATTTATATGTGTGTTTGTTTATTGTTTTTTATTTTTAAGGTTCAGTCTGTGTAAAGATTTCTGATGCTGTTGAGATACTTGAAAGAAATGTGTTCAACCGGCTGCTGGAGCCAAACATTATGATTATCATTATATTATTGTTATATAAGTTGAATGTTGATAGTTCCACACATTCCTGGAAGATATTTAGACTCAGAAGGAAGCCAAAGACACGGATGATGAAAGTTTGGTTCACTGAAGTATAAATGAGACGATGTGTCAGTTAACGAGCTGTGAGTGAATCAACTAGACCATGTGTCAGTTAACGAGCTGTGAGTAAATTAACTAAACGATGTGTCAGTTAACAAGCTATGAATAAATTAACTAAACCAAGTGTCAGTTAATGAGCTGTGAGTAAATTAACTAAACAATGTCAGTTAACGGAGTGTAAACCAATTAAACGATGTGTCAGTTAACGAGCTGTGAGTAAATCAACTAAACGATATGTCAGTTAACGAGCTGAGAGTAAATTAACATGACGATGTGTCAGTTAACAAGCTGTGAGTAAATTAACAAGACCAGGTGTCAGTTAATGAACTGTGAGTAAATCAACTAAACAATGTGTCAGTTAACGAGGTGTGAGTAAATCACGAAACGATGTGTCAGTTAACGAGCTGTGTGTAAATTAGACCATGTGTCAGTTAACGAGCCGTGAGTAAATTAAGTAAACAATGTGTCAGTTAACGAGGTGTGAGTAAATCACTAAACGATGTTTCAGCTAACGAGCTGTGAGTAAATTAACTAAACGATGTGTCAGTTAACGAGCTGTGAGTAAATTAACTAGACGATGTGTCAGTTAACGAGCTGTGAATAAATTAGACCATGTGTCAGTTCACGAGCTGTGAGTAAATCAACTGAACAATGTGTCAGTTAACGAGGTGTGGGTAAATCATCAAACGATGTGTCAGTTAACGAGCCGAGTGTAAATCAATTAAGCGATGTGTCAGTTAACGAGCTGTGAGTAAATCAACTAAACGATATGTCAGTTAACGAGCTGTGAAGAAATTAACGAGACCATGTGTCCGTTAACAAACTGTGAGTAAATCAACTTAACAATGTGTCAGTTAACGAGCTGTGAGTAAATTAACTCAACCATGTGTCAGTTAACGAGCTGTGAGTAAATTAACGAGACCATGTGTCTGTTAACGAGCTGTATGTAAATTAACTAGACCATGTGTCAGTTAACGAGCTGTGAATAAATTAACTGGACCATGTGTCCGTTTACGAGCTGAGAGTAAATTAACTAAACAATGTGTCAGTTAACGAGCTGTGAATGAATTAACTAGACCATGTGTCAGATGACGAGCTGTGAGTAAATTAACGAAACCATGTGTCAGTTAACGAGCTGTGAGTAAATTAACTTGACCATGTCTCAGTTAACGAGCTGTGAGTAAATTAACAAAACCATGTG